ATAGATTATTAATTATATATAATATAAAATATTAAATTATAGATTATACTGAGATAGAAAAACTATAGAGTTTTAGATAAATTAAAAAAATAGAAATTTTAGAATATAATAAATTATTATAATTGATAAATATAGAGAATCTGTCTAATATAGAAACTAATTAAATAGATAAAGAAAATTCTAGATTATTTTATTAGATAAATATTTAAGATAATATTATATAAAAATCTAAATAGCTTTAAATTTATTATTTAGATAGAAATTATTGTTTAGGTAAGATAGACCAACACACCGAAGTGCGTGGTGGGTCTGCTGACCTAAGAGACGGCTAGTAACGTATTCGGTAAGCAGTCCGGTCATGCAAGCAGTCCAGTCACCTCTATATTCCATATTAAATGGCATATTTTTGAATATCGATATCTCAACAAACTTATATTCTATCCATTTGTAACTTTATATATAGTTTAATCTATACTATAATAATAATCTGTCAAATTTATAGATATCAACAATATTTTATTACCAGGGTAAAATAAATTATACTGTAATATATAGTATCTTTTGTGATTCTTGCAAACGTAGGGTTCATATTAGGCCGAGCGAGGTCTCCGAAGATGTTCCAAGATCGGGGGTTGGGAGCGCCTTCTTATACCTTTCGCTCGCGGTCTATCTAGTGCTATACTACTACGAAGTGGATCGCTGTTTAGGGATTCTATTTGTCAGGCCGATCGACCGCGTTCGACAGCTTGTCGAACAGGTTCGATGCTTGTCGATCGGAATCGACCTCTGGAGTCTCGATTGCACTCGACGAGGCAGCTCGCCGGGTATCGATCCGGGTCGAAAATCACACTTTTGTATATAGCTATAATTTATCTTTCTAAGATTTTATTTCTACTAATATTCGAGATATATATAGAGACTATCTACATAAATACTGTAACAAATTAATAGATATATAAAATATAGAGTTGTTGAGATATCGATATTCAAAAATATGCCATTTAATATGGAATACAGAGGTGACCGGACTGCTTACTTGACCGGACTACTTACATGACCGGACTGCTTACATGACCGGACTGCTTACCGAATACGTTAGTAGTACTGAGCAGCAAACAATGCAAACGCAGCTTACTCATTATCAGTACAAGATGGAGATTGGCAGACTATTTGCGACTACGCGTGAATCGGTAACGGTTGGATGCTCAGCCTTTCTTTATTAGATATGCCTCCCAAAAATATGTACACTGCAAGGTTGCGGGATCTTTGCTATCCCCGGTGCTCAGGACTTCAAGTACTTCCCCCATCTAAGAACTGGAAGTCATTGTGCAGACAGACTAAAATTTCCCAGGTAGCCGCAATTAGATCGTCTATCTCGTCGCAACGTACTATATGCACAACATCTACTGCGCCCTATCAGGACTCCACTCCCTGCTCAGTGTTTTTCGTTCCCGCGACCCTCGCAAACTGTCGCTATGGTCAACGTCACCCGCGGACTGCTACTGCATTCCCCAGCCCTTGTTTACAGACTCGCAGGGCTTCTTCGCGATTATCCCGAGTGATCATGCCCCGTCCCGGTACCACTGCTGAGACATACGTGGCGTATGGAATGACACAAAAGCTTTTTGAGGCCTGCTCTAGTCAGGCAGATTACAGTATACCTCAGGCGTCTCAAAAGGGGGCCCAAGTCCCTAAAACTGAAGCCGGTGAAGATCTCGGAGTTGGGGAAGGATGGTGGTATGAAGGTTTGTTTTCCTAATATTGACCGACCTTGATTAGTAAAAAACTAATGCGCGTGGTTATTATCAGACCTTGGCCTCATACCAACTTTCTCAACTTGGTCTCAAATTACATTTTTGCACATGTACCTTCTAACTGTCCGCCTACGAGTCTTGCCGTCGTACGAAAGCTTTCAGACTTATTCCCGACATCTGATCGACCACTTCTCGCATAATGCTGAGCATCGCATGGACGTCCTACATGGGTTCACTAGTCGTACAATCCGGAACAAGTTTCTCAAGGATCTCTTCATCCAGTGGAGAGGTGTTCTTGCGGCCTATGATGAGGGCCTTGTTAAAGGAGACGCCGTGCTAGGTGCCGCTATCTGGAGAAATTTATGGAAAGCAAACCATACCGGACCAGATGGGAAGGAGCTCGACTGGACGAAAATAGCTCGGGTCGTTGCATATATGCGGCGAGTAACTTCGGAGCTTTCTCAGGTAAGCGAGGCGGATCTCGTCTTTCAACTACACCAGCAAACTGGCGATAAACCCGGCATTTTCGGATACTCTGAATTCGATAAAAAGCTAGTCCAAGGCAAATGATAATTGGCTGAAGACCTCGTTTGTAATAGCTTTTTTCGTCCTCTTCTCTTCATCTGTTGTTTAAATTCAACTTTACTCTGTTTGCAATAGTAAACTTTTTCATACTATATCTATGCATGTTGCATATAGGCAGTGAACATATGCTTATACAAGTAAATGCCGTGATGCTCTGACTTTTGCTATACTGCATAAGAGAGGCAGCCACACACACCTTGGGCAATTATAGAACCTTCTTAATTCAAAACCAAGTATAACTATTGGGTCCACAGCCATAATAGACTCGAGCATAGACAATCAAGCAGGGGCTACTTCTCAAAGTCATTATCGAACCTACTCTTCCCTCTTTCCGAAGAGATCTTTCTCAACCATCGCGCGACAGATGGGATGATAGAAATCTTTATTCTTCTCAAATGTTTCGATCGCAAGAGGGCGATTAACCTTTTGCAGGTTTCGGTACCTACATGACGGGGTTAGCCTAGGGAATGACTTGTGGTAGACAAGCTATACTTACAGAGGTCGCACAAATTTCATCCTACCTATTCTGCCTAATAGATCTGCCGTCGGTTGGTACACGGTATTGTCGCCGGCCTTTAACCCTACTTGGAAATAGAGATTGGCAACTTCAATGTTTTCACTCTTGGCGAGACCGTAGACTTCACCCAGAATCCTCGACAGTTCAGGGGTAAGTGGCTGCTCGAACAGAAGAATTTGCTCCAAGAGGACCACGATTTGGTTTGCTGTCAGCCCCTCAATATCACTTGCCCGAGGCTGAAAGGATGAGTCAGGAAGGGACTTCCATTTTCTAGATAGCCCGTAAACAACATCAACGAGGGACGTGTCAAATTGTGGCTTGGGGGGCAAGCCAGGGGCATAGAACCACGCATCCCAATCGACATTTTGCAAGAGGTTGGAGGTTTCCAGATCATGCTGGAAGAATTCGAGCATAGTTGCCTTAAACTCATACGAATCGAGAGACCTTCCTTTGAACTTCGTAAAATACTAAAAGCAATTTAGCAAGCCGCCGTTCTAAACAGAATTTGGGGGAGGTATACATAAGGAATGAATAGGTCAAACTTGTCCTTCCCTATCAGATTTTCCAAGTAAAATAAGAAATTGAATCCTTTTTCGTATGGAATGCTTGAGAATGCATCGTCAGGGTCCTTCCCTTTAAGATCAGTGACTAACTTAGTAAACGGATGATCGTGTCCGAAATGCTCCACAGAATCTGCAAGAGACTTCCAACCAATGATGGCTGAGAAATGTCGATAGGCTTCACCATGTCTGCAAGCCAAATTAGCAATTTGATCCGTATGACGCCAACATTAGAACTCACACAGCAGCTAGGATCTTTTACAGAGTCAGTATTTGTACAATTGTCAGTAGTATCAAGTGAATTGACAGGGCCTGAGGGACAAACAAACTGACACGTCTCTCGAGGTAGGTAGTCCAGCCTTCGTTCAGCCAGAAGTGTTCCCATGAAGCATTGGTGACAAGATTACCACTCCAGCTATGAGCGAGTTCGTGAGCAATAACATCGACATTTTCTCGATCCTAGTAACTCGTGTCAGGAAATTACCGACAGTTGACACCGGTCTATCTCGGGAAATACCTTTGAGATAATGCTGGGAGTCGCAAAGGTGAATATTGGGTTTTCCATGCCTCCGTATGGAAAGCTAGGGGGAAGAATCAGGACATTGTACTCGCCCCAGGCATACGGATAGACGATTTTCTGTATTCAGGTCAGGGTCTGGTGATAATATCCTTGTATTTCAAAATCAGGCGAACCTCAATTGCATGTATGAAGTTTTCAGTGTCCGCTTCAAGCTCCCATTGGCATTCCTTGAGTTTGTCGGGACTGGTTGCAACGACACTCCGGGGCCCAATTGCAGCTTCCGAGATATCACTGTTATTAGCCAGTCAGTTTCTAACCTAAGCAGACATTCTGAATCTTCATACCCACTAGCCAACGCGAACAGATAACTTGGGATAGGCAATTTTTGGTGAAACTGATACAGAGTTTTACTACCTGATTGGGATTTTTCTTTAATGCCTCTAACAGGCAATCCACTGGCAACCACAGGAAGAGGTGAAGTGATATTGAAGTCAATAGTAGACTTCACATCTGGGGTATCCTGGCACGGGAAAATTGACCGTGCATGGATAGCCTGGCATTGAGAAACTATGAGGGTAACAAGTTAGAAACGCCTAGCAGTTCCTTAATATTCCTCCCTGTTGCAGGGCAGCGGCAAAGGCTAACTTACACATATATGGATGTTTCCTATTAGAAGTTTGGGCTGGAGTCAGCCACTGGAGGGCAGTGCACTTTTTGGTCGTCTTAACCGAGATCTAAATGCTCCAGGTTAGATTCAACATGGAAGACGATACGCAAAACTGGTGGATAACTTACATCAACCTCGACCATCTCGTTCAACCCCACACCCTGGTCAAGCTTAATCTTCAAGGCAGCTCCATATGGCTCCAGTGGGGGGAGGAGCTCCCAGCGAGAAGCTTGGCCGTCGACTTTCACATTACCGATATCCACGTGGTTCGTATCCAAGATGATTTCCGTAGATTTTGCGTCGGTGATGGACTTGAGCTTATGAACAACATTCCCAACAAGCTTCTTCTGTTCGAATAGAATATCGAAATTTGCGGTTATATGGGTAGAGACCCAATTATTATAGTTGCTCAGGGTGTTGGGATCCCGAGGTGAGTGGATAGCAGTTGCCATGCTACGTCTCGAAGCCTGGGCGATCCAGGGAATTCGTATATTGGTAACTTCAAAGAACGGTAGGGGATAGCAGCTGTAAACAACAGAACCTCGAGAGAACCTAGGTTGCCAGGGCTGAGACAGAGAAGTACGGATCATAGAACCCCTCCCCGATTCTCTGAGTGTGTGATAATTGAAATCAATAGGCGACGCCGATTTAATTTAAAGTCATGGGCAAGGATTCTTCGGAGTAGGTGGGGAACATCTTGTATTGCCATTACATAAACATACCTCTGGCGAATTATTATAGGTTTTGTAGTAATGTATGTACATACATATATTTGTATACATGCCGTACGTCACTGTTTAGACACATACGTACAGTTAGATGCCTATACATAGAAGGGATAAGATAAATATATATACTAACTAAAGCACTATACTCTTACAACCACCAACAGTATATGATCCCAATGCCTTGGTATATGTCTGCTTAGTAATTACTGTACTGTGATTGTCTGTCGAGGCCTAGAGTCGATGATACTTGAAGCTTTGAGATGACCTAATATCTGCTAAATCTCGAGATGATGGTATGAGTTTATAGCTGATTCTAGTGGCTTCCCTTCCCCACTCTTCCCATTCCTCTTCTCCGTCATCGTATTTGAATTCACATGGCCGACTGACCTACAAAATCGGTAACTAATTAGTTAGTTACACAGATGAGATAGTCATGGTATAAATACTGCTCTGTACATGTATGTACATACATACCAATACGGATACTGTACACTGTGTAAGTATTTTTTTTTCTACTCTTTTACAACATGTTACATTGTCTTAACCTTGAATATTGACTTGACGCGTAAATCTCGATCTGTATGCATTATCGAAGTATTTGAGGTTCTATTAACCAGTACTTCCCAACATCATTCTAACTGGCCTTTCCTCCTCGAATTATCATTTCCTTCAATAATTTACTTCTTCCTTCGATACCCTCTCTTTTGACTACCCAGGCTGTCAATGGATATTCCTCAAGTGCAGATTTCCGGGTTTGATAGCTCCCATGGTCCTGGGAACACGCAAAAAGCGGAAACGCGCGACGTGGACATGGATTCGAGCCAACACACAGCAACGAATGATGCTATAGCACAAGATGTACCCCTACCAAGTGGAACAACGGAGCTCCAGCCGATATCTATGGAAGAAGCGGCACCTCCGAAAAGAAGTCTTGGTCTTGAATTTCTCGAGTGAGGTCACCATATTGTTACATCTGATGGCGGCGCAACATCGTCATCCTTTCTTGTTCAAGGATTTTCAGCTTACGCCGTTTAGGTACTTGACGTCGCCTATTGTGGAACTTAGTATAGGGAAAGGAGAAACCAAGACCACTTTAACAGCTCACCAAAAACTACTTCTGGAATCGCCCTTCCTTGCTGAGCGAGTCGCAGTATTTGATAGTCTGGGGCCTGTGGGTCAAATCAAAGTGGTCATAGAAGATCTTTCATCCTGATGCTAACATTCTCTAGCGCCGCATCGAGCTTCCAGACGAAGATGTAGAGGCCTTTGGCTTTTTTCTCCAATTCCAATATACCCGCAACTATGCCAGCTCTCTCGCCGATGCCTCGAGTGACAAAAACGCAGCTGTAGGAGAAATCGATGATAATGGTGAGCAACTACTGAAACACGCACGTGTATACACATTGGCAGAAAAGCTCGGAATACCAGCACTGAAGACCTTGGCCCACTCAAAGATTCACCGTGTGAACAGCACTTCACACGGTGAGATTGCATATGCTCGATATGTCTACACTCACACTCCAGCCGACGATGTTACAATTCGGAAACCTGTAGCATCTTTCTGGGCTCTAAGAAGCCATGTTCTACGACATGAAGCTGAAGAGGAATTCAGGAATCTGTGCCTTGAGGTTCCTGAGTTCTGCTTTGATGTATTCAGCATGGTACTTGACCACAAAGAAAAGCGCGCTCAAGATAAAGCTGACTCCGAGTCTACTATTAAGGGAAGTGGAAGGAAACGACTCAGGAGTGGTCTGTAGCTGGGCTCTGCAATCATCCTCAATCAAGGATGCTGTCTAACAATTTGGTTTATAAATATTATCAACCAGGGCAGAGTTCATATCCTTTTTTTCCTTTTAAGAAAACGCATCTATACCATGATACTACATATAACTTGTACTCAAATCAACACAACTTCACCAGTTGACTTCTAGGCGGTTGGGGTGGAGCCCGATAGCATGAAATGGAAGTATAGCTCTGGCATGTAGATACTTCCAGATCAGAATGTATTTCAATATGGTCCACGGCCCATATAGGTATCGGCACTGTATCTTTCGTAATAATGATATTACCTACAAGGCCAAGCTTTCCATTTCCTCTATAGCTTTCGGTGCTGTGGTCAAATTTTCGTGGCCATCTTTGGTGATATGAATATTATCCTCGATACGAACACCTCCCACCATCCAATACCGCTCCAGAACAGTGGTATTGATGTACTTCCCTAGCTCTGGGGATTGAGTATAGGGATCAATAATGAAGCGACAGAAGTAGATCTATAAGAACACAAGAGTTTAGCACATCAGGACATAATATAATAGTTGGGAGCAGGCTGCATAGACTTACACCTGGTTCAACAGTGATAACGGAACCTGCAGGCAGACGGCCTCTGACACGGAGGTATTTAAACATGGTATCCTTGTCTCCATAGTTTGGGTTGCCCCCCGTGTCATGCGTATCCATTCCAAGATAGTGGCCGAGACCATGAGGGAAAAACGCTACGCTAATTCTCTTCTCAAATAATTCATCCTCGGAACCAGTTAGAATCCCCAAAGCGAGCAAGCCCTTGATTGCAACACGGTGCGCATGCGCATGCACATCCTCCCATTGAACATCTTCTTTAAGCATTGAAATGCATTCTACCTGCATTTGTAGGACGATCTCATAAATCTGGCGGGTTTCTTTTGTAAATTTCCCGCCCAAAGGGAACACACGCGTTATATCCGAGCAATATGCCCGGTACTCACCCCCAGCGTCAATGAGAATGTTGCTCTTCCTTTGCTTCGTCACAGGGTCCGTCAGGTTATCATCATTTTTGCCATAGTGAAGAGTGGCCCCGTTTGCACCGCAAGCAACGATGGGGTGATAAGATTGCTCACGAGCACCGTGAGCGATACACGTCGCGATAAACGCGCCTTCAATCTCACGTTCGTTTACTGCAGTCTTTGAAGCTTTTATGGCAGCAACATGTGCCTTGGCAGAGATATCATTAGCCTTTCTCAGAAGAGCGATCTCATATCCGTCTTTCACAACGCGCGCCGTTTCAATAGCTTCCTTCAGGACGGAAAGACTGGTTTCCGCAAATCCTTGAAATTCGGTCCCGCTAGAGACCTGATCTGCGATCGCGAAAGCTACGGCATTGCCATCATATGCTGAGCCAACAGAAAGAAGGGTGGCCTTGATTTCAGTCGTCGCAAGCACACAATCAACATCGTAAAGCTTCATAGCTTCATCCGCGGAGAGGGGAAGTCCTGACCAGATTACCTCTTCCGCATCAATAGGAGGTATAAACAGAGTGAGCTTGTCAGCTTTAATGTCGTAAATCAAGTACGAATCTGGAAGCGAGCAACCTGATAAGTAGTAAAAGAAACGCCGTTGCCTGGTCGCCGGGTATGGTGAGTTCACTAAGCCTATAGAGCAACAGTTCGGAGAGAAAGGGGTGAATGAACGTTACCTGAATGGCATCGGTTCGTCATTATCCTCTATAAGGCGAGTTTTCTGGGCTTCCAAGTAAATCACTCCAGGGGCGCCATGTCCATGACGAGCCTGAAGAAGCTGGGCAACCCGGCGCGCATGGGATTTAGCAGGATATTTGCCTGTTAGTATATCATCCACAGTGGCCATGATTGTACACTTCCGCAAATCAACGGGGACTGTGCTAGGTCTCACAAGAATAACGGAGAAGGTGTAGAAGAGCCTGGCCTGCAGGGAGCCTTCAAGTGAACTTAGCAACTCAGGTGGGGGGTTTTAATTATTTCGCTTGCGGGGCTTACTTCGCGTGACACCGCTTATCATCGGGTAAAGGCCAAGTCATTCGGCTTGGATTCAGCTGGCGGCAACGACATTGATATCATAGTTAACTATCGCAACTAACTTGAGCGTAGGGAATTATCTACTCCAATGTACTACCTTGGCTACCAGGGACATCTTCAAATTCCATTTCCCATTGATCGACCTCAGCAAATTTCTTCGCTTGCAGCCTCAGCTCTTCGCTGAGGAAATCGACCGACGGCGGCGACTCTGACAGTGAGGCGGACTCCAATGCATCTGAAACCAGCAGTGAAGATGACGGCGACGACATCTCAGTCAGCTGGTTCTCTTCGCCAGCGACTGTGTGTACACGAGGCCTAGTGAAATTGGCTTCGTGGTGATTTTCACGGGCTTGATTTAGGGGTTTCGTAATCCCTGCGGAGCTCTTGGGCTCATTACCCTTGTTGACCGCTACTCTAGCCCTTTGTTCATTCTCCCGCCGAGCTTTGGAGTATGGTTTTAGCTTCGGCTTAGCAGTTCGCCTTCTTCTGTTTGAGTAGTTCAATTCGTCATCATTCTGGTCTGTAGTGGAAGTATCATCTTCACTCGAGTCACTCGGAAGTTCCAACTCAACCACGTCGCGGCGTTCGCGGTACCGTTGGCGACGCCGAGGGAGGAATCGGTCTTGTAGAGTTGCCGTGGGGATGGTAGTTGCCTCGTTAGTCAGGTCTGGGTGTACATTTGCGCCTTCTTTAGTAGGATTCAACGGCCGCACTGAGTCTGATGTGAAGGCTGGAGCAACGGGACTCGACAGGGGACTGCTGCTCAGAGGCGGTGCCATAGTCTGGTTGAACGCTTCTAAAGACTCTAATGGTTGGATTAATTCCAGGGAGTGCTCGTTTCTGGTATGAGGCGACTTTTCTCTGCGAGTGTTCCTCGCTACGGCTGGGGGCGACTGAGAGACCTGACATTCTTCAACAGACCGTTTCCGCTTGCGTGGCTCCACACTAGAAGGCAATGAAGGCTGGGATGGAGATGGGGATACAGCTTGTCTAATTAGAAGTGATTTTCCTCGGGTGAGATTCAGTGGCGTAGACTCGTCCTCAGGGCTCAAACCACCCAAAAAGTCGTCATCGTCCAGATCAGACGATCCATCCTCTGCTTGCATCATTTGCAGAATGCTCGCTTGCCGAGGTCGCCGTCTAAAGTTACTCAATATCGAGCTCTCGAAAGCAGGCGTCCCCGGTATCCTTGAACTTATATCAACTTTCCGTCCAGCCATGGAGAGGGTAGACGAGTACCCCCGAGACCTCGTGGGTGGCCGGCTGCCTGTAGCACCTCGTTCCCCCATTGGGGAAGACTCGATCGCCTGTTCATTTTTTCTAGCCAGGGGTGTTTGATTTCTCAATTGTCGTAAAGTGTTCCCCGGTTGGGCACTGGATACCAGCTCTGAAGAAGTCCCCTCGTCCTGGTTATCGGGTGCCGGTGGCCTGGAAGTATTCGATGCGTTCACGTCGCACTCGTTACTTGGCTCCGCCTTTCCCTTAGATACTGCGGACGCAGCCTTTGTTGTTGTGAGACGATTGCGTTTTGTTGGTGGACGAGGCATGTTTGTGGGGATTGCAGTTCTTTACAAAAGTTCCCGTAGCATCAATCTAGAGCTTTTTTCCCTCCACTTGTCCTATTCTTTCTTCTTCCTTGCTTCCTTGTCTCTCTTCCGATATGTTGAGTGGATATGTCAACCTCGAAATCCTGTAAACGATATACAGAAAGCTAAGTTGTAATCGGATGGGTTTTTGTATGTAACCTCTTCAGGTCGCGTCATTTGTTTGCAAGGAACAACGCGTCCCGCACGTGCTTCTTCCACTACTGTATGCGCATTATACTCCATACATGGTATGGTGATTATTTTGGGTTCTAGTTCTTTTCTTTTTCTCTTCGTTTACATACATATTAAATACTGCCATTCCCAGCTTTAAATACATATCATTCCAAGACGTATAATATACTACAAGCCGTAATCTCCCGCTTCGTTCGGTGGATTAAGTGGTTTAAAACACTAACTTGGGGTAGGTCAGCGGATGAAGGACCACCACATGGTATATAGAGCTAAATTTTTAAAGATATAGAGAAGATTATACAGAAATCAAGAATTTAAATATGAAATAGATATTAGAAAATAGAGATCTATAACTATGTAAATACAGTAGCTAAAGACTCGGGTCAAGTCTTTCTTTATAGAGAGGATAATTGTAATAGCAGTATATTGTTGTTACAGATCCTTGTCTAGCATATGCTATCAAGAAAGCGGATACAAAGGGCAGAAATAGTAGGATATTAAGAGTCAGAAACAGCTATATAATCACCAGCAAATAATTATAGAAGATATCAAGGCTCTAATTAGGGATTATCTTGAAGTCTTTATTGATTACTTGTCTCTTGCTATCTTAACTATCTATATCTAGAGGGAATTGTTATTTGGACCTCACGCTAGTTATTTGGACCTCATGTTAAGCCTATATAGGAAGATATAATACTATGTATTGGTAATACTGCTAGTTAAGCCGAACTATTCTAGAATAGGAATAGAGACTCTAATCTCTTTTCTCTTTTCTCTATCGGATGCTCTTACATAGAGTATCCAAACAGTTAAGTCAGAGTCTATATCTATTATCTTTTTCACAGTATATAGTAATCCCCTGAGTCTCTATCTATCTAATCTAGATAAAAAGTAGAGAGATTCTTAGCTATAAAAATATATCTATTTTAATTTTTTTTATAATATACTAATCTGTGTTCTTTTATATAGAATATTATATAAACTGTATTTAAAAGAACTTTACTAACATGTTTTTTAATTATATAACTCGCTTAATTTCCCTATATAGGCTTAATATAAGGTCCAAATAACTAGCGTGAGGTCCAAATAACAATTCCCTTTATTTATATAGGGCTCAGTTCTATTTAACTCTATCTTTCTATTCTACTAAAAGTTATCTAATCTATTCTATTTTTAGTTACCAATCTCTAAGCCCTAGCACTTTTCCTATTTAGGACTAGGGCTTCCAACAATTATAAAATTAAAAAAATAGATAAAGCAGTTAATATTAATTCTAGAAAATTAAATAGAAACTAAATAGAGTTTATAATTTTAAAAATATCTATATCTAAAATTTTAAAATATAGATTTTTCTATATTAATATATAGAATTTTAGAATTTTAATAGAAAAAATTCTAAATTTAATATATTATTTAACTAAATTTTATTTTTTTTAATTTATTAATAGAGACTAATTTATTCTTTAAAATTTTTAGAAATTAATAGAATAATTTAGTAGCTAAAATTATAATTCTATTATTTTAAAATATTAAATTGATAATAATTAATAGTAAAATTAAAATCTCAGTTAAAATTAATTAATATTTCTGTAATGACAAGTGTAAGGTAGCTACAGGTCCGAAGGGTAGAGGGTTGCCGCCCCTTCGTAGCGGAGGGGAATAGCTCTCCTTATATAGTGCACCGTAAGCACTGGTCGGTGGCTCCCTATGGAGCGTAGGGCTAAGCCACTCCCGTGTGGCTTAGCAGCATTCGTCTGTCAGCTGTGCACAGCTAGGATTGCATTTCTTTATTTTAATTTTATAATCTTTAATTAAATTTCTATAGAGCTTTCTATTAATTAATTTTAAATTAATTAAAATTTTAGTTTTTTACTGAATTTAACTAGAGCTAGATCTAATAAAATAGTAAAATATAATTAATTTAATAATTAATTAGATAAAGCAGTTGTAATTCCAATTAATAGAGTCACCTAACCCACTCAGGCAAAAGGCTTACAATTGAATACTGAACGAGTATTCAATTCAGTTAGGTGATATATATATAAGGGTAATCGCTAGGATTATATATTTATTATAATTTTTAAGAAATTACTGCTATTTAAATAAATAAATTA